TAGGTTGAAATCCGTTCGATAATCTCAATGTTTATTCACGGTTACGTATGACTAGCCCCGATAATAAGTATCCCGTAGACAGCGGAGCAATCTGGGCCCACATCAGGGCACCGGAGTTCATGCCGGAGGACCCGGAGGCATTCCTCGAACTTCTGGAATCGCGATTCCATGAAGCTCGCATCACAGGGCAACTGTCCCGTTATCATAAGCTGGTGTCCGCGAGACCGCGGGATATGCTGAGCAATTTCAGGGATATATATATGAATATCCCCGCACACAACCTATATGACGTGCTCAAAGAGGCACTCTTCCCTCGTATGGCCGCTTCTGAGTAGAAACGCATCCAGCTCCTACTATCTGGGATACAACTGGAAAACCTCAAGCCGTTCCAGTTATTGTGTCATATGCGTGCGTTGGTAGGTAGCACAACTTTAGACGACTCTGTACTGCGTCAGATCTGGCTCCAGCGGCTTCCGCTTTACGTACAGAGCATAACGTTTTCACCCGTTCCCACAGTCTCGATGAACGAGAGGAAGCTGCAGATCGAGCAATAGAGGAAGTTCAACTTTTTCAGCCCAAAATAGCGAACGCTGGAAGCCCTGAACCAACCATGGTACGCCAGACGATTCCGAATTCAGCTCCCTTTAAACTCTCTGATGAGCCCATGACAGAAGTGCAGCTTTTATCTAAGCAGTTGGCCTACCTTCGTTTAGCCGTGGCCACCATGCAGACCACAACAAACAATCTGTAGACTACCCGCACAATCCGTATTCGTTCCCGGTCAAGCAATGGGCTCAGGCGAACCCTATCTAGGGGCGGCCAGTGCTATTACCACAGACTCTTCGGAACTCAAGCTAGGATGTGCGAACCGCCGTGTTCGTTCAAAAATCAGCAGGAAAACTACAAGGCCGACCGGTTACGGCGACTACCTCAACCGGTTCTCCCACACCCTGTCGCCTTGGTTTTATCTACGATAACTCGTCCAAGCTCAGGTTTATGTTGGATACCGGAACGCAAGTCAGCATAATCCTGTTCACTAAACAGGATGCTACCAACCCAGCAGCATTGACTTTGCAGACAGAGGCTACTGAACTTAGACCTTAAAACGCGTCTTACCTTGGGTTTTCGTGGTCGCTTGGGTTTCTTACGCCATTCTAGGTCTAGACATTTTACAGCACCACGGTCTAATCGTAGATCCCCGTAAGCGACTGGTTAGAGACTCAGTCACTTCTAAAGTAGTCGTCGGTTCCCTGGTATATTCAGCAACGCAGAATGTACACCTGCCTTTTCCACAAGTTTAATCACCATATTTGTCGTTATTCCGCGAGTTCCTAGCCTCGCCCGCCCTAGCACCGAGCTGCCACCTATTACAACGGAGGTGTCGCATCACATTATCACTCGAGGTCCACCGGTCCACGCACGTCCCCGTCGACTGGCACCAGATAAGTTATGCACCGCGCGCGCAGAGTTTCAGCATATGCTGAACATGGGCATCATACGCCCCTCTGAAAGTCTGTGGGCGTCCCCTTTACACATGGTCCCAAAACGTCGTCCAATGACTGGCGTCCATGTGAAGACTATCGCGCACTCAACCGCATGATAACCCCGAATAGGTACCCGATCCCCCACATCACGGGTCTCACGTCGGACCTAGCCGCATCGATCTGGTTTGCGCATACAACCAGATACCGGTAGCTGAAGCGGACATCCCCGAAACAGCCGTAGTCACACCGTTTGGTCTATTCGAAATCCTCCGAATGCCATTCCTTTTAAGCAACGCCGCGCAGTCTTTCCAACGTTTCATTGACAACGTTTGTAGAGGCTTAGACTATGTTTTTGTTTACTTAGACGATATTCTAGTGGCTATCTCATCGCGCGAGGAACATCTGGTACATCTCCGAGTACTTTTTTATCGTCTGGCGCAGCACGGTTTCACGGTCAACGCACGAAATTGTGTCTTCGGTGCTTCCAACATTTATTTCCTAGGTCATCGCATCACAGCTACTGGTATTGAGCCACTGAGTGACAAAATTCAGTCGATATTAGACTACCAAGAGCCCACTACGTTTAAGCAGCTACGGCGTCAACGTATGTCGTCGTTTCATCTCTCAAAGTGCACAACTGACGCAGCCACTCACTGATCTACTTAGGGGTAAAACAAAAACGTTAGTGTTCGTACAAGCCGCTCCAGACGCCTTCGATGCGTTGAAACGAGCAATCAGCAAGGTTGCACATTAACCCACCGAGACCCCTCCGCCAAACTAGCACTGGTCACCGATGCGTCCGACCACGCAGTTGGTGCCGTCCTCTAACAACAGGAATGGCAACCTTTAGCTTTCTTATCAAGGAAGCTCCAACCATCCGAGTCGAGCTACAGCGCCTTCGGTCGAGAAATCCTGGCAATCTACCACGGTATCCGTCACTTCCGCCGTCTCCTCGAAGTACGAGACTTCACGGTCATTACGCACCACCGTCCTATCACTCATGCCATTAAGTCGACTACCGACAGACACTCTCCACAAGAGTCATGACAACTTGATTACATCATACAATATACGTACTATGTACGAAATATCTCTGGCGTCAACAACCCTGTCGCGATTGCCCTCTCACGCATCCATCACTTGGGTAACCCTTGCCCAGAAGCTATAGACTTACAGGACATGGCCACAGCGCAAATCAGCGACACTGATATTGAGCTACTTCGCAAGCAATCCACGCTCCGCATTGAATATCTACCACTTCCGTCCTCAGACAACAAAGTCCATTGCAACGTTTCCCTAGGCTACTCTAGGCCAGTAGTCCCATCGACCTTGCGCAAAAAGGTTTTTGAGACACTGCATAATTTGTCACCCTTAGGCCTCCGCGCCTCAGTGAAACTTATCACTGATCGTTTCGTGTGGCACAACATCAACAAGAACATCCGCCAATGAGCACGCCAGTGTTTGTTCTGCCAACGTAACAAAAGTATCCTCTCACACAGAGCTCACTAGGTTCATTTCCCGTCGTCGACGATCGTTTTCACTACATCCACGTAGACTTAGTTGCCCACTGCCACTATCGAAAGGATATATCTATATACTCACCTGCTTATATCGTTTCACCCGTTGACCGGTAGCTGTGCCTTTGTCTTCCGCATCCAGCGAAGCAGTGGCACAAGCCTTCGTAGAGGGTTGGATAGCTAGCTTCGGTTTTCCTAGTAGTTACAACCAATAGAGATTATCATTTCGAGGGTGGTTCTGCACAACTACTTAAACGTGTAGATATTCGCCGCGTCCAGACGACCGCTTACCACCAGGCAACCAATGGGATGGTCGAGCGTTTTCATCGACAACTGAAAAGTACTCTGACAGCACAGACGAACCCATACTGGAGTCTCTACCCTTAGTCCTCTTAGGTTGCAGATCAGCGTTCAAAGTTGATTTGCAGTCCGCACCGGCAGAGTTGACTTTCGGTTGTACATCACGTCTCCCAGGGGAAATGGTAGCACCGACCCCACCTATGGTGACTATGCAACCCGTTTATTAAATCTTTTGCAACAGGTGCTTATTCAGCTAACTCACCAGCAAATACCCCTAGCCTACCTGCCCCTCGAATAACCAAAAGCTCTCATGATTTCCTCAGGGCAGAGGTTCGCGCACCACTGCAACCTCAATACAGCGACCACATAAGGTGCTCCGACGCTTGGAGAACGCTTACGTAATAGAGCGCAACGGTGAACGTGAGACCGTTAGTATTGAGCGGCTCAAACCTG